GTGCTCCGGAACACCTCCCAGTGTGGCTAAGAAAAGGTCTGGTGAAGAAAATGAACAGCTCGATATTGGGCCATTTAGTACAAACTGGTCATCGATGCCAGTATAAACCAATCCATTTCAATTATTTATATGGTTAATAATTTTTCGCTAAAGTTGGTCAGACACAAAGTCCTTCAAATGGCTGCAGAAGTAACCATCCAGATGAAGAAACCGGAGCTATCCAGACAAAAGAAATATCTTCAACCACTCATCCTCCTCCTACCCTGGCCAACCTCAAGGCATATTAATCAATACTAATCTTAGCTATTGAATGACCTAATTTGACTACTGTACTTACGACCTTTCGTAGTCAAATGTAATTGTCTCTTTTATCTTCATTCATAAACATTATTATTAATCTCCCCAATACATGATTCATTTATTTCCCATTCATCCCACATTACTAATAACTTTTTTACACAATATAATCTTTCACTAAATATTTGATCGACTTGTAATTGCACTATTATTTCTCTCTCACCCTATTTGACCCATATTTATTGTGATCATGGATCTTTAATTTTCACTTAGCATATATACAGATTCCAGTTAACATTCTGTGAGTCATACCAACACTAACAATTTTATTCTATTTAGTTTGAAAATTCATATGGTTTAAACGGGTGTACTTTACCTGTAACCTGGCCATTTTTTGGATTATTAATTTGGATGTCTAGTTGTAGAACCTGAAGAGAATTTATCGAAAACAATATTCTTCGTTCAAATTGTGAATAAAGATGAAAGAGACAATTACATTTAAGAACAACATAGACATAAGTGAACAATATTGTTTTCGATTAGATCTTCATCAGGCTTTACTCTAATATACAGTAATATTTATATGCATATATGAAATTAGAGTTTAAAGTGCAAAATAGTAATTCCCTTAATGGGTATGTTTCTGTTTTTTGTTTTGTTTTTGTTTTGCACTTTTATTTAATTATCACCGATATATGAAATGATTAAACCAATCAAGGTAGTTTATGAACCAATGATAACGATTACATAATATTTAAAACAATTAGTCCCATTGATAAATTTCGATAATGCAATAAGAAGACGAAGTTTATATTTGCGCAATACATTTCGAACAGTCTGATCACACATATACTTGTTAAGACATTTGTTCTATGAAAATTAAGAGGTCCACCACACAGATTAAAGGTCAGTCAGTCAGTAACAACGTAGGACTTCGTACGTATGTACATCAGTTCGAGTTGCCACACCACATTAGCACACAGATCCAGTGGTCGATTCAAATCCCGTAGTGGTAGAGGTAGCAAGAGTATAAGCAGTAGTAGGGAAGATTAGGGTTCGGAGATGTTATTTAAAGAGTATAATACAGTGAAATAAATTTGGAAAGAGGAAGAAAGGGACATGAAGAATTCAGAAGATTAGAATTTGGGAGAACACAAAGAGTGGATGCACCTGCGCCATTGCAAATGATTTTGAGCCATGTCATTCAGGGTCTCTAGCCATCGGTTGCTTTCATCTCGTGGTCCCCAACCAGGTAGTCTACATCTACCAACATGGCTCAGTCCACTTGTCAGTGACTTCATGGATTTGTGCCATGTTTTGGTCTGGCCACCCCTAGCTTTCTTCCAGCCTACTCCTATACCACTGAACATTGCACGTCGAGGCAGTCGGTCGTTGGGCATACGTAACACGTGCCCCAGCCATCTCAACTGATGAAGTTTCACTAAGTCATCAATTGATTTGCCATCCTTACCTAGTACCCGTTTCCTGACAACTGCATTACTTACTCGATGGTCCCAGGATATACGAGCAATGTTTCGAAGACACCTATGATCGAATACTAGTAACCTACGAATATCCTCTACTCTTACCGGCCATGTTTCACTGCCATAAAGTAGGACGGGACGAACTGCTGCGCAGTAAACACGTCCTTTGGTTGATAGACGGATATCTAGATTAAAGGTAAGCCGTAACATAGAAAAAAAGTACACAAAAACAAAAGTGATTACCACTCTGGATAATAAATCAGTATTACCAGGGTAGGTTAAGTGTAAGGACAAATCGATTTTGAACACATAAAGGGGGTTTCGATTTCCGTATAACCAAGGCTTCGATAAACCTTAGTATACGTCCTTGAAAGCTTTTGTATAACACTACAAATGCTGATTTGATGTCAACCTTATGACCCGTCTCAATCAAATGTTTCGCAATGGAGGATGATGTCTGTCTATCCTGTGATCTTATTCGACCATTGAAATTCATCTGATTCTGCAACCATTTTGGTACATGTTCACCCACCCTTAATTGCAAATCACGATTACTCCTCCCTATGTACGTGTTTCCACACATACATGTAAAATGATAGACGCAGTGGGATGTGACAGTCGTTTTCGTGCTGTTTGGTGAAACATAGACCTTGTCTTTTCGATAATGACAAGTTGGGCTGCATAAAATGTCCAGTTGATAGCTAATTTAAGTAGAGACGAAGCTCTTGACTGATACGTTAATGAATAATGGTTATTTTTGAAGTTCATAAACCGCTGGAAGGGTTGCAATACGACTAGACCTATGACGCTTCTGGCACCCAAAAAGCGAGTTTATATTACGTTACCATTCAGAGGTGACACAAATAGTCTCATGTTGAAACAATCCACGGTCAATATCCTGGTTCTATGCACCATAACCTCTAAGTTGCTTTTTCAATCGTAATCGGTTCGGCTGTACACAGAAGCATTAACCTAAGTGTGCTTTGTTCTTTTCCCCTAGGATTTTTACATATTTCATCTACCTGTTTGCTTTACTTGTCAACTTCTATTTTTCATCATTTAGTTGATTTTATGTCAATGTTATTGTGTCTGCTAATGGTTATGATTCATGTAATAACTTCAGGAATCTTTTTTTCAAAAATATTGATAGTAAGGGCGTAATTTATCTTGTTGTTGATGTTAGCGACTGAACCTCAATCAGTCTTTGTTAGCAATATGTATGTACCAAGACGTGATATTAGTCTATGAAATCAGTTAGCGTTCATTTGAACCGTGTCAATAGTGAATGGATATTACCTAGTTAGGGTCCGCACGAATATCACAAAATCAATGGTTACATATATTGGATGAAATGGCTCAGAAGCATCCACGAAATTCAATATTTCATCTGATACTCTTTCTACTCCACGAATTCATATTTTTTTCTAGAATAATATTACTGATACCTAGTTTTTGCTAATACCACTAATACAGGTACTACTTTCAGTCGGACGTCTCAATGTGCTGATGTGGTGTGGGAACTTGAGCTAGGGTTCTACGTTGGGTATGATTGCAAATAACACTAGTATTTGTGTACGAATGTGCGACCGATCGCTTAATTTGATAATGTGTGATACGTCAAGTAACCGAAAGCTTAGACACTGACTTCCTACCTGCTTTCTAGCCCCCAGATATTTTGTATTCTCGAATCCTGAACAAAAAAAGCAAAAGGAAGTGGTAGATGAAGCTTTACTTCCAAGGTTAGTTCGTGCACAGAAGATCTAGGTAATTATTTGACTAAATGTGACGTTGAGCGTCTGAAAAATACACTAAAATTGGTAACAAGATCGGCGACTGCCCGATAGGATAATTACAACACAAACTGTCGTTTCCATAGAATCCTCTTGAAAGTTTCCAAAAAACACTGATTAGTCGGAGTGTTCTCCTATGTTCCGAAAACCTTTTCAAAGAATTATTGAGGCCTCTTAATGAAAAGTGGATAACTGATAGCTATTCATAAAAACTGAATTATTGACGCAAAGCTCCCCTCAAGGAACGAATATTAAGAAATTGAACTAATTAGTGACTGGTTATTCCTTACTAGTAAAACATTGCAAATAAATAAATATGATTAAAAAAAATTTAGTTGTAAGATATAATTCTTGTAGCCCACTTGTCAGTAAATGAAATAGAGATCTATCACACTTATTGATCGTTATATCAAATAGCGAAATTACGCCGTACCTTTCTAGGCTTCCCGGTTTGTCAAACTCATTGGATGAATTAACCTTACTACGGTTTGTTTTTGACATACCGTCAACTGACGTTCAAAACCTTAGAGAGTATATGTTATTCATGTAAACCGGGATGATTAAATGAAAGGAGATCTGAAAGAAATATATTTGATCCTCATATCCCTGCTAATATATTCATCTAGCTAATATTCTTAAAGATGTTTGAAGACGGACTATCAAATAATTTTACATGGTCTTTCTTAAAAATTCATCAAAACCTTCGAAAAGTCAACAGTTAAAATATGGATGACAGTGTCCCTGTGGGGATGAATCTGGACGGTGTGCAAATGAAAGAGTAAGAGGAAAAAGAAAACTGAAGTAACCACTTCCCTCTGTACGCGGATACATATACACGCTTGATTGTAGGTGTATAAACGAATACAAAGAAATGAAAAGAAATTCAAACATGAATTATCTCCGAGCAATACCATTTATTACTACTATCACAGGACAACAAATAGTAGTATATGTAACTAATAGTGAATAACGATGAAAGATAAGAAAAACAATAGAGATAAACGATATTTTAAGTGAAATAAAGATTTGAATTCATCTTGTTCTTCTGGCAAAATAGTTGTATGGTAGGTATACTAGCATTTTTATACTTTGAAAATGAAGTTTTGTATACTCTCTGTTTTCAACGTAAAATAAACTGTGTGTGTGGAGGGGTGATGTGGGTGGTGTCATTGAGCTGACTGCAACCAAAATACAATGATAATAAGTGATTGTTTAGTTAAGGATTTTCTATCAAAGTATGAGAAATTCTTATGCAACAAAATCAATGTATTACGTAATGCAGTAGATATTTAAATCTGTCGTATAAAACAATAATCCCATTACCGTCATTGTACATTCATTCGTACAAAAGGATATGACAAAACAGAATTGAATAGACCACACAATGACTGCTATCTTTCGGAAGTAAGTTATAATAATAATAATAATAATAATAATAATAATAATAATAATAGTAATAACGATAATAATAATAGTATAAACCGAACTACTGGATTCATCACCATTCAATATAACGTGATGTCCCCATTCCTTCGAACTATTCATCTTTGCTTATTGTAATAATATTACTATAATCACATGATTAATTAATAAGGCAGTTCGAATTTCACATTTATAGCAGCTTCACGAGCCAAATGAACAATATTAGCGAGTTTAACAGACTGAGAAATTAAAAAAAAATAAAGGCAATAAGCGAAGTTACATAACACAATAATAGTTTATTTCTCCGAAAAAAACGTGAGGGTAAACAATGTGATGGTAATTTGAATTCTAAATAAATAAATCGCTAACATTTACAGATTATATGCATGACAGTGTAATAATATTGATGGTTCTCTGAAACGATGGAGTACATAGTGCTAATTAAGTTGGATAGTTGAAATTGGACTATCAGTGAATCGTTCTATGAATGTAAAAAGGTGGCTTGGTAGTTTGGGATATTCTCGACTTTTAGTCAACAAGATCACAGGTTTAAATCCCATCCTGATGTACTTTGTCGTTTTCAGTGATCGAGAGGTAGTGTATCATTAACTTTTAAAATAACTAGATTATGACACAAAGTTCCGTCTACATAAGCTAATGTACTTGGTAAACAAAATGACATTATTCTATAAAGATATAAGCAAACTTCCAATTCAGTGCAAACATTAACTGTCAAATATGGGCGAACAAATGAGGGATGGGATAACATAAACAAATTGAAATTGATGTCTATGTAAATAAAAAAAGATTATAAATTATTTATCGATTTGGTACTGAAGCAAAGATAAAGTCATCTCGAGATTAGACCTGAGTCAAAGTGATGGAATTTGATTGGTCACCTGTTTTAGTTATTGGGCATAATGAACAATCCAATCTGAATTGAGGAAAAGACTGTTAAGTATTTATGAGAAATTCAAAAATGAATGACTTCCACTTTACATGACGTAAGACTAGTAGTAGAAATACCTTTATGTAGAGTTCAGAACGTTCAAGTGATGACGAAAAATTAAGTATTTCCATCATAAGGTAGAAATAATAGTGTTAAACGTATCAATCTTTCCTATGTAGAATGCATATAACATGTAAATAAACTGTTCCGAAATTTTGACCCTAAACCTTTAATCTTAACTGTAATCCGAAATGATCTGGGGATTTGTGAAAATCTTCTTGACTCCTTATAGCAGTTCGCGAATACGGATGTTCATATGCATTTGGGCCAATTTGTATGAAGTCGTTTTCTCGGGTTACAGACGGAAAAACCATTATATAATCTTAAACCATTCATGAATTATGTGAAATCTGTTTTTTCTTCTCTGTAAAAGTTATTTCTTTGTAAAAGCTTTTATCTGATTGGCTTAAATGGTCGCTTATTTTAAATTCATCCATATACTTTACTATTACTAGTTTTATCCTCCAAAATATAAAATGTCTGATCAAAATAAACCTTTTTAGATAATGCTTAGAATACCTAAAATTGTTAAGAATTCTTTCCTCAAGATCACTTAAGATTTGCTAAAAGGTCGTCCATAAATTATAGTCTCACTCAAACCAGCACCACGATCATCCACCTTAGCTGCAAATCGTCTCCACGCTAGTTCTTCGCTTATCGTTTCATCTTTATAATTGTTCAGCGAATGTATGAACAAAGAATTTGAAAAATGAGATGATAAATTTTCAAACCAAAACTATTTATGACTTATGAGAAAGATTTAGAAAGAAACATTTAGTGTGTGTGGATAAATTCGAACCACACACACAGACTGATGAGGTTACGTAAAGAGATAGGAACAATAACGGGGTAGATTTGCATGCATATAGCATACAATTCTCTTCGAACCTAGCACACAACAATAGTATCATGCAGTGTCCCATTGCCCTTAGCAGATCAGGCAACCCGAAAGTGACGAGAACACCATCAGGGCATACGACAGGCCATATACGTAGAGAGAGATTTCTATGAAATTAAGATTTGGAAATCTAGTAATACACTTTTGCATAATCATAAACTTTCTACTTATTGACTGAGATGAAGAGTTCCCAATTTATGTGAACATTTTTTAAGAGAACAAACTAACCAACCAGTTCATCCCAAACATTATACTTTTATTCAACTAACAATAGAAATACCAGCTATGTATGAATAATAATAATAATAATAATAATAATAATAATAATAATAATAATAATAAAGGAAAACACAACGAAATTCTGAAATGAAACATACCATTTGAGCAGCTTCATCTAAATCACTACAACCTAGAATTTTCATATGACTTGTAGCAAGAATTGCTTTAGCGTCTTCAACTCTAGTCCCTTAGTATTTTTATTTATTTATTGATGTTATTAATAGTGATTGGTTTTTGTTTGTTTGTTAGTTTTATGGGAAAATATATTGTGAAAATGAAAAGAAAACAATAATAATATAAATAGTACTAATTAAAATGTATTAAGGGATATTTTTTGCAAAATAATTACTTCCATTTGATAAAAAAATAACTCGAAATGACTAGCATAATACATACTTACATAGAAATCATGTGCTCACTAGTCATTGATTTCAAAAGGTGATTATTCCTTGAGTTCTAGTAAGAAGCTATAACTGATGAAGTTCAATTATATTGGATGATAAGCCAATCATCCAATATCAATGACCATTGAAAAATGGTTTTAAAATATTGTGAATTGATTGAAGATAGATATAGAAACACTATTAGATACCGGTTAATTAATCTAAACGTTAAACGATTACTTTGAGACTTGAAAATCTTTCATTCGATCCGTAGTGGATGTGCATTGTAAATGAAGAGTCCCAAACTAGGATAAAACAGTTGTTTAGTGTTTCATGAGTATTAACGGTTGTTCGATTACAATGAGTCAGTGAAATTTGACAATTTTCACAAACCGTTTTTAAACTAATCACAAAAAAAACATTTTTATAAAAGGTTGCCTAGTAAAACAATATCAAGATACCATTAATTTCATGATTCGTTTTAGTGGAGTTTAATTCTCTGAGCTGGATGGTTTGGTTGTAGAGCTGTTCATTGTTTTTCTGAACGACATCATCAGTACAAACTTCAAGTAGAAGTGAAATTTTCGAATTTCTTCACATATCACTCCCAACTTGTCCTGTAGACCTCGATCGTCATTGTTTATTGTTGAACTTTAACCTGTCATTATTTACCCCTTTATTATCGATTGTATTTCCTTTTGATCTGATTCTTGGTCCTATGTTTATTCATGATGAGAAAAGTTTGAGCTGATGATGCTGTTTATAAGAACAATGAAAGCTCCACGTTCAAATCATCCATTTCAGAGGACAAAACTCCAATAAAATCATCCATCTGAGCTACAAATCTTTTCCACCAACAGTCATTCATTATACTATGACTATGTTTTATTAAACTGTCTTGAAATTATAAAAGATTATATTTCTTGTTAAGAATAACAACATTCGTATACGGTATTCTATGTAGAATTAATGCATAAAAAATGTGTAGAGTACATAAGTGATACATTGTGGAATTAGGTGAATATAAATATATGTACCTAAATGTAGAGAAAACAAACTCAGTACTAACTAAAAATCAAATACACCTTAGTAACCAAGTATATAATTTTGTGTATTTGGAGTATGAAGGAACATATTTATTTTTACTTCTTTAACAATTGGTACTATCCAATGGTTGGTGGAAACGTTGAGTTGTATCACTTGAAATCAGTCATAATGGCGCAGATGCATTCACTCTTTGTCTTTACTAAGATCTTGAGATTTTAGAAAATAATCGTGCACTTTATTATTCCTAGAACTTATTTTTTCCTCTTGGATTATATTGAATATGCTTAAATTTTTTTAATTACCACTACTTCCACAAATCTGGAAATCTTACTGTACTATTATGGTGTTACAACTTGAACTGATATACATCTCTCTCAAGTCTTGTGTTGCTTATGGCTGACTGAGTACTATTCAGTTAATGAAATTAAAATAATAGACGGAAAGAATTTCGCACATACAACCAACGAAATGGGTTGAGAGATGATTGTTTTAATCAAGACAAACCACTGCAACTCTATATTACAATGCAGCAAAATGATAAATATTGAGATCGTGAACCGATCAATATTGGACTACCACTGAAAACCTCGAAGCACTGGACGGTCGTTTCATCATAGTATGTGACTCCTCAGCAGTGCTCATTCACGATTCCGCACGCGGGACTCGGACCCAGAAACCTCTGATTCACCAACTAACTGATGAGTTTATGATGAAAAATAAACTTGAAAAATTTGCGCGAAATCGCCTTACCTTCAGAATATATGGTATGTCAATAATAATAATAATAATAATAATAATAATAATAATAATAATAATAATAAATAATAATAATAATAATAAATCACTAACCTTGAAGTCGTACAACAATTGGTACTTTTATGTTTAATTCTGTAGCAGCTGTTACAATACCTTGTGCAATCACATCACAACGCATAATACCACCGAAAATATTTACTAGTATAGCATTGACCTTCGAATCAGATACGATTAAACGAAAAGCTTCAGTCACTTGAGCAGCTGTCGCTCCACCGCCAATATCAAGAAAATTCGCTGGATTACCACCATGCAATTGAATTAAATCCATAGTAGCCATAGCTAAACCAGCTCCGTTAACTGAAAAGATTTATTGGAGTATCAAAATGAAAATATAATCAGAATGATGGTAGAATCACGATATATATATATATATATATAATTTCGAATTAAAAAGGAAACAATAAAATTGCTTGAATTTTCGGGTCTCAATAACATAGATTCGTCAATGCGCACCACAAAGAGATATCATATACTGAGACGAACCACCTGACTGTCTGGTGTTACCATCTTGTTTTCTATGGTTGTCTAAGGTCGGTGCATGATGTAATCTACCAATTTGGATAATCTCCACATAAAGCCCTGTTCACTGACAATGATTATATACTCGCACTAATGACTACTTTCAAAAGGTAATTCAGTGACTAGAGGAGTTCAGCCCTGTCGGATGTGCGAGAGTGTACTAACAAACAGCACTGGGTAATGGATGAGTAATATTGTGAATTGACTCGAGTTAGAAATATAAATCATTGGATGTTACCAGTTTAGTGATCTGAAAGAAAAGAGACAACCGCGAGGACTGAACAAACTGGGTTCAACACAGGGTGGAGTCATCGAAGTGCATTATTGATGAGTGCTATATTAAGATGGCATGGTTAGCCGATCAAGGTTATCTAGTTTCCAAATGCTTATATACAGTTAAAGTCCATCAATGATGTGAAATAATGAAAACTAACGATTTGTTAGAATTCAGAAAAAAAATAGGTCAAATTTAGGGTGATATCGATTTGTTTCATTTAGAAAAAAAAGAATCTAGACACGTGACGACAACCTTGGTACAAAATAAAAAAAATCGAAGGATACGTACAAAAAAACAAAAAATCTATACATATGGATTGTGGTGTATTTTAATTCATTTAGCGAACAGTTTCTTATGTTGTATCGATGTTTTGAGCTTACAACGTGATATTACAATAGACATTCATTCGTTATTGGATCATCATTATCCCTTGAAACTCAACTCATTTGATATAGGTGTCATTACCAAGGTTTGATTTGATAATTTCGAATAAATTGAGCATTGGGTTGATTGTTATAAATAAAAATAATATATTTGTAATATCCCAATGAGTAGAAAATTGGATTTTCTACTCATTGGGATATTACAAATATATTATTTTTATTTATCATTTGATATAATTCATAATGCTATCATAAAATTTGCTGAGATTTCTACCGTCATTCGTAGTATGTAGAAGAAAGTGTCCAGTATATATATATATATATATATATATATATATATATATATATATATATATATATATAATTATTATAATAAATGGACGTCTGTTGAAAAACAAGAGGCAGTAGGGAATTTACAAGGAGTTCAGTAATCATAGAGCGAACACCTTGGATCATAAGTTATATTCTAAGTGGGAGGGTTAATGATACTACTCGATTCCCAAAACCGAAGTAGGTAGGACAATGTTCGCACTTTAAACTTAGTAGCCGAAATTCAAATGCCTTAACCAATAAATCGCTGCTCCACAGACTCACTATTCAGTGTTGTCAACGCGCATCTGTGTCAGGCTATGTTGACGATGACCAACCGATTATCTTCTGATCAGGCATTCTTCAGAACTATAGTCTCGATTTTTTATAGAATAGATGGATTGTGGTCATTAGTGAAATCTAAGATGAGCATTTCGTCCTACCTAAGACTTGTCGGTTAGATGTACCTTTTACATCCCAGAGTTGATACTGTATAGCCAGTGTTATATCACCGAGCCTTAGCTAAATCATTCGACAGTTGTGTCACTGAATATCGAACAAATCGACTCTCGACAAGAACAACCAACGCGCATCAGTTAATCGTATGCCATGGACTGGCGCATGCGGTGGTGGTCTCGCTATTTTTTCTGTACTCATTCTTACCAATACATTTGCATAATAATGTTCTTTGTGTTATACGGTATTCAAAGCAGCCATAGTACCTTGACACGTCGAAGGGGTAATCCACGTTAGATGTTGACCGTGAGGTGTGACTTCGAAGTTATCTGGTTCGTCACACCATTCCCGTCTAACTCGAGTTGACCTCCAATCATTCGACATAGATAATCCACGCTGGTGATCTACAATACTTTATACTGAAATTCGAACCCAGTACACCTTTCATTTCAAACGCTCATCGCGCTATCCACTGAACTACTAAGTCCGCATAACCATTCACTTGTGAGCAAAATTTCATCAAAAATATCGACAGCGGGATAATCAGACTATTTTTTAAATAATGATAAATATGTTTGGAACGTTTATTTTTCTTCATCAATTATTTCAAATTTTCTATTCATCTCGTTAAGCTAATGTGGTATGGATACTTGGTCTAATCCATATTTGTTCCATGCGTTCCACATTGATTATGATTGACTGGATAGGTTTCAACAGTCATAAGAATAATAATAATAATAACAATAACAATAACAATAATAATAATAATAATAATAATAATAGACTGATTTACACAGCTCTAAACAATGTTGACATCAGCTTGTTAATTGTGCCCAATAACTGAAAATTTAGCCAACCAAAATTGTACTTTGAATATTTACTCGGTTTAACTTTTATATGAGTCTGCTTTTTTATTTTTCTATTAATCCATGAACGATGGTAATCAACCAAATTTTCATTTATTATTGTTCAGTGTATGTGTAATTGTAATTATTTCCTAATATTTTTGTCTTAATTGCAATTATTTATTATGCAAAAGTAATTAAATCATTAAAAGGTCAAGTTACGTATTGATTTTAATAATAATAATTTTGTATAGACTGTATAACTTAACAACACTAATAGGACTATGAGGGTGGTGGGTATCATTTCCCGGTTGGTCACATATACCATGGAAAGATATTTCTTCTTGGGGTAACTGAAAATAAAACTGGGTTAGGGGTAATCTTGACAATCTGGGAAAACGGTTAAAAAGCCCAATAAATAACTGCTTGAGGTCGACCAAATATAGACTTTTTTCGAATAGTTATAAATGCGTTGGCTTCGTACTTTTAAGGCTTTATCGTTAGCGAAAAGAATCCATGGGGCAAGTTGAAGTGTGATTTTTTAATGCCTAGCTTTTTCTTATCCCCTCCTATCGAATTGCTACAAATGCTGGCTGTCCAAGGGAAACACTTTGCCGCCGTCTCTCATCACAGTACAGTTAAGTGTATAACATCTCCCTCGAACCATGAGTACGTTGTTTTCAGTTCTACTGTTCTCTAACTAACTTATCTGATATGGTAGGATCTAAAGGAAGGAATATCTCGCCTAATATAGTTTAATCAAGTCATCATGATATGCAAAACCGAACATTACATTGTGACAATAGCTAAGATCATACATAACAACACTCCAATAAGTGAAATGTAGGTAAAACAAATATCTATCATGATTATTATCACAACTTACCTAAACAACCAATATTTCCATCTAAACCAATATAATTTAATCCAGCCTTTGATGCTTTTACATCACGTTCATCTTCTTGTGACCAATCACGTTGTGCAAAAATCTCTTTCTGTCGAAATGCAGCATTATCATCGAAATTCATTTTACAATCCATACAAACAACTAGTTCAAACATAGAAATAAAAGAAAAAAATACAGATGCGAGAAAAGAAGAATTATTGGCATAACCGTCGTCTTTTTCACGTACATACACTTTTCAAATTCAGTTTCAAGTATATTCATATGTTAATACGACAAGAAATTTGCATTTAAACGTTGATTTCTCATATTCTCCTTTTAGCATTCAAAGACGTGAGATTAGCTGAGAACATAGAATATATTTTGAATAGTGAATGGGAGAGAAATATAGGGAAGGTGTCTTATTCTCTTTGTTGCTCATCAGCTGATTGGCTTTGATATTAATACTGATGTTCAACTTAAGCTTAGAGAACCGTCAATAGTATGGTCTATATCCAAGTTCAAATACCAAGAGATTGATCAAAAATTGGAACATTCACTATGTATGATCACCTTCTTCTACATGGTAAACACGATTCTAATAATTATTTCTCAGAGAACTAACTAACCGTCTTCTAAATCGAACGTATACAGATTCGTTAAGGATTCACACAAGGTCATCATCATGTCTGACTGAAGTTAGACTTGTAAACCACTGGGTCCCGGCTCAGTGATTTAGAGGTTAATAGTTCATGAGCGAGACCGAAGGTTCTGGGTAAGAGTCAAGATTGCGGGTTTGTGAATATACACTGTTGGAAGTCCCATACTAGGACGAAATGGCCATTCAGTAATTTCAGCTTCCCAACAGTTGTCGAACGCAAATCGCCTCATGATTTCAATAAAATAACAGACCAATAAAAACTCGAAAAAACATAGCACGAGGAGATAGAGAGAGGAGGGAGGAAAGTGACAAAACAATATTCAAGTCAAGAAAGAAAAGTCTTAACAACACATACCTTTTCCATTTATATCTTGAGAAATTGGATTAATTTCTAACAGTGTACAATCGGATGAATCAAAGAGTTTATAAAGTCGTTCAATGTATACAACTGCTTCATCTGGATGTGTAAAACCTAATTTATGCGCCATAAATAAAGCATCTTTTTTATTTAAACCTTTGTTAATATCAACTGGAATCTAAAAGGTGTACAATAAATTTTTTTCAAAAAGAATAGTAATTGAATACTGGTTAAAATGTTTCCTGGAGATATTTGTTACAAATAAAAAGTCGCAGAACTATTGGAAACGATGGTGCATTGAACAGTTCTGTTTAATGATAATGAGTTTGTGACTATTTTACAGTAATATCCGATAACGATTTCATACAATACACTCACTACGAAGTTTTGCAAAATGTGAGCAATGTTTTAAAGATATATCTAGGATTTAATGTATGCAGTCAATGTATTTTTTATACTTTCACAAACTATATTTTAAAGTCACACGATGATACATATCTGATTGCTAAAGAGTACGTTCGATCCTTGGTTGACGGACAGACATTTCGCCTGCACTACAAGCAGCATCAAGGGAGACTTTTGGATCAGTAGCGATATTTTGCTAGCCATCAACCTTACGAAGAATGACGGAACTCCCATGAGGAACGCGATGAACAACACGCTCGATTAGTTCACGCCATATATATTTATTTATTTAAACACATAAACACTAGTACAAGGAGGCACAAAACAGATATGCGCCACATAAATCATTCGATTTATGAGAGAACTGGGATACTACCCGGCTGCCCAAACCGAAGAAAGTGGTTTTCTTACGGGGCCACAACCTGAGCCTTTGACCTAAAGGTCTGACCCACAAGGCAGTGGAGCAACATAAGGAGACGCAGTCCCATGGTAATCGATGATCAACAATTGGTTCATAAGACATTTGTTCCCTCAGGATTCTGGAGCCCATGTGTACCATTGGTTTGGAATTAGGGTTCTCCAACTCCCCTAGGTGTATCCTCCATATCCACCAACCCAGTTAAAGCGTCGGATATTCGTTTTTCATTCTCTCAATTTCGTAAACAATACCCCCGCCACAAGAAAGCAGTGGGTAGGACTTCCCTGGCAGTGGTTCTATGCACGTGACCACCTTAGAGCATCTCGAGAGGGAGGGTGGGCTCTCCCCACCATCGGCCGTGCCAGGGCATTCAGGGGCGGGGCGGTCTACGTCGGCCAGGAACCGAACCCGGACCGTTCGCGTGGGAGGCGAGGATTCTACCATTGAACCACTGACGCGTTGGAGCACAAATACACAATTCATAGGAGGAAATTAAGTTATTTAGAAGGTAAGTGGATGCACTGATGAGTCAAGAAAACACGACTATATAACTGATCATACTAAAGTACAGTTATCACAGTGACGTTACGTTGATGAAAGTGTTTCGTTCTTGTATATGTAACTCAAGTTTATATGATTTAATTGGAATAGATCCATCAGATTGAAGAAAGAAAGCGAATTGCGTTATCTGTTGATAATGGACAGAAAGTAGTAACAGAAATATGCACACTGTTCTAAACCTGTTACAAAGTATGTGTGTGTCTGTGTTTATACTCATAAAAAATAACTTGGAATTCAGTAGTTTCACCGTGTACACGCGTGTGTGTGCATTATTAAATTTTATTTATTTACTTTTGACAATAATCATCATGGATTGCATTTAGTTAAAGAAGTATTATAAAAACCATGAAACACTGGATAACTGTATTATCTAATATTTTAAGACTACTATTACTACTACTGCTACCACTACTCATCAGTGTACACACACCTATGACTTTCGACTGAATTGAGTTCATGCTGAAATTTATGAAACATGCATAATATTAATAGTGGATAATAAACTAAGTTATTTATCAAGTACTTAGATATGAGCTACATTCCAAGTGTGAGAGTTAATGATGCCATCCGATCAGTCACACCAAAATAGGTAAGGGGGACGTTCTAGCCTACGATCGAATGATTGAAGGTTGAATGAATTAACCACTAAGCCATTGCATAGTGTTATTAAGTTACAGTTGGAAATGAAAATTATATTAAACTAAATTATTTTCAATTAGATACCTAGTAAAATCATGGTCACTTAAACTTATAAATAATATCATTTTGAAATTCTACGCAAATTGTATTACTTGTAATATTTTGATGTTAAGTGGTTGGAAGCGATCAACAAGCAGTTTTTAATTAATCAACGTCAACAGATACAGTGTCCAATAAAAGTAGGTTAGCTCAAATTGTCACATTATATAACCACGATGAGATTAAATTAAGAAGATGAATGACAAAGGAGTTGAACTGTGTTACCAGTGGTAATAGGGAAGACTAAACCTTGAGAATAAGGTAAGACAGGACGAAATCGAAAGGTATGTATGGAGAAATACTGCAACTCGACATCCATAAGAAAACGAAGAGTAAATGAACCTGAGCCAATGTAATCGATTTTGACCCATGTCACCCAACATCAACTACTGGTCATTGTTATCATAACTACTGCAACCAGGAAGTTGGGATCTAGAAACATAGGTTACACCAATAGTGAATGACTTCATGGACTGATACCACATTTTAATTTGTCCGCCTTTAGCTTCTTTCCAACTTAGACTGAACCTGAAATTGCATGTTAGGATAGGCAGTGGTTAGGGATACGTAACTCGTCCCAAACATCTCAGATGTCGAAGATCTACAATCGTATTTACCGATTTCCAATTTCTTCCCAGAAACCTATGTCACTATTTAGACTATTAAACAGACGACTGATGCTACCCACGCTACTCAGTATCACAGTCAGAAACATCACCACAACTGGGTAATCCAAGTTATGACTGGCCTCTTGTGGGACTGAGATTTTTATACTCACCGACTACTAAGTAGTAACACTAATGTCATATTTATCTAATCCTTGGTGCCAACTACAATTTGTTACTTACCTATAAAATTAATAGTTATAGTTGAAATCAACTAGTCATTAGGTCTATATGTTGCCAAGAGCAATTACAGAAGGGATATATTATGACTAGAGGTAGAATTCGAGATGAATGTTTAACCCTACTTGGGACTTGTCAGTAGGATGTACCTGGCACATCCCAGTGTTGGTATCTACATTTGAACTCGAGCCAAGGTGTTTTTCACTTCAAACACCCAACTCGTTATCCATTGAGCTTTTGAATACAGATAGCCGCTAAATTGTTCAACAATTATGATACTTATATTATTACTAGTAGGAATTTGAATTATTTACTATTCACATTCAACATTTACATAATCAAAGTACAAACCATAAAAATGTCTACTGATTTACTTTAATTAAAGCATCTGGGTTATCACGTGCTATATCTTCAATATTTACACCACCCTGTTGACAACCAATCATTACTGGTCCACCACTAGAACGATCTAGGACAATAGCTAGATAATGTTCACGTCGAGAATATTTACGTTCACATGCTAATAATGTATTGCATAATTGGCCGGTGTCACCGGTTTGTGCAGTGTAGATTCGATGACCAAGCATGTGATTAGCCACATTTACGGCTTCTTCTACACTGAAATTGAAAAAAAATAAACAATTTGAAATTGAAACCTGACTACCTATTACATGCAACAATATAACTGAATAATTAAGTTCATTTCGTGATAAGAGATGATTAAAAGTAAAAACTAATAATTAATTCAATAAAGTAATTTTTTATTTTAACGTTCTATGGAATTTTGACCAACTCATCTATAAACTAGTTATATATAAGATTTTATCGTATAGTCTGATAATTATCTCATTCAGTTTTGATATTTATTAAGTGAGAAATTCGTTGTGGGTTATAAGTATTGAAACATAATTCTTAATCATTGAAAAGGAAATATGTACATGAATAATGCTATTTTCTCATCAGAGATATATATTCTTCGCAAACTGCTTTTGTCTTCCCAATAGTCAGTGATTGGGGTAAATCGTTGACAAATAATTACTCAAGGTGGTCACATTTGGGTTTTACTAAATTTTTTAGTACTATTTCCTTGGTATTTTCGAATTGCATTAAAAAAATTAGGTTATAATATTTCGATAATAAACTTTAAGACTATTAAGCTAACTAATTCTCATCACAGATACAACAAACATATATAAGCAGGAAATTAGCTTCGGGACGCATTTGTTTTATCAAGGTTAGGGATATTATGTAACTGTTCAGTTTTAAGTAGGTGGAATGGGGCTGGAACCTGTGAAATCCGTATCGATTATCAAAGGTGTTATGACTTTATGTCCGCGTAGTTATCAGGTGACTTATCTACCAATCAAAATACGACTTATACAATCTTCACACTGTGCCAAATCAATGACGTTCGACCCGTATGAGCAGCCTAGTGTCCTTATTAGTCCTATGTTCGCCTAGCCCGTCCACTTGAGTCCAGAACACCAATACCAGCTTCCACTATGCGAATCGAATCGAATCCTTTATTTCAGACATACTGGGTTTATATATCAACCAGACAGACCGCAACGCACCATAAAATAGGAAATAACAAGCATACACAATAAAGCCAAAAAGTAGCTCTGAACGTGGGAGGCAGTAGTCAATAAACTGAACACAGCTTAAGAACATTAAATCGTACAATAATAAATTATAGGTCAAAATAAAGCTTATAATATGAGGAATATAAATATAGATAATCCAATTATTGAATAGTTATACCATAAGAATATATATAGACAATATTAGTCAATTAATATGTCTCAGAAGTTACTCGTGATTTAATCTTCGCTCGGATATAACAAAAGGGTTGATAAGAACTAAAGGAAAGGTCATAGCACTGTTCTAAAGACAGAACCTAAAGCTCTGTGTATAAATTCTTAAATTTATAGAAACTTTGACCACTATAAAACCCAGAACTTCTTTATGTGCACAAAAATAATTTAGTCTAACTTTGATTTCACCCTGGTAATCCTTTAATCCACTTTACACCATGAAGTGGTGCGAAAAACTATTTTTTCCATTTTACATTAATTTTCCCTTTCCTTTATCACTTCATGTTAATTAGGCCTTTTGTTGAATTAACCTTTATTAGTTTCCATAAATCCCATGTGAAATCTATGTACGACCAAATTACTTGAAGTATATAGAGCAAATGTATCAAACTTTTCGTCAGTCAGTCAGTTACTACGTAGGACCAGGAACATATATGCATCGATCCAAGTTGCCACACCTCATTAGCACAACAAAATGAACACCGAATTCAGAGAGAAGTAGTTGATTCAATAGTGGTAAAATATAGAAGAAAAATTGCATATAAGGATATAGTACAGGAAGAAAGAATCAGTTGGTAGAAAAAAAAGATATAGAGCAATTTTAATCTCATCGTTTAAAGGAAGATAGAGTGTGTACACCTACGCCATTATGATCGGTTATGAGCCATGTCACCAAGAGTCTCCAACCATTGGTTACGATAGTCACGCGGACCGCGACCAAGTAGTCTGCATCTACCAACATGGCTCAAACCAGAAGTTAGTGACTTCAAGGACTGATGCCACGTTTTGGTTTGGCCGCCCCTAACTTTCTTCCAACGATCCCCAACACTAGTCAGCATTGTGCATCTTGGTAATCGGTGTTCAGGCATATGTAACACGTGGCCCAACCATCTCAGTCGATGAAGATTCACAACCTTATCAACTGATTTACCATCATTCCCTAATACCCTGAGTCTAACCTCACTATTACTTACCCGGTGATTCCAGCAGATGCTGGTAATATTTCTAAGACATCTGTGGTCAAATACTAGCAACTTACGAGTATCTTCTACCCTTAATGGCCACGTTTCGCAGCCGTAAAGTAAAACAGAACTGCTGCACAGTGCACTCGGCGCTTAAGTAATAGACGGATATCTCGCCTTCGCCACAGGTGACACAAGTTGGCAAAAACCAAACAAGCTTTTTGGATCTGCGCATCGATTTTTTCAGACACCAACCCATCAGAGCTGATCAGACTCCCAACATAAGTGAGGTTGTCGGCGCGTCCGACTACTCCACTCCTTATCCTTAGTTCAGGTGTTGACGCACACCAGTCCTGAAGCAATAACTTGCATTTTGAGGGGGAGGAACGCAACCCAAACATCCTGGCATTGATGCCCAATGCTATCAAGACTCTGTATTTTGTCGGCGTCTTCACCAAACAGGACTATATCATCTGCGTATTCTAAGTCGATATGTGGACCTCCTGGAAGATCAATTTCCGAAAATTCGGACGACGAGAACTTAAATCTAGCAGTAGGTTTATGATGAAATTGAACAAAAATGGAGATAGTGGACAGCTTTGTCGGACACCACTTTTTGGGTCAACTCTATCCTCTCGTTGTGCCATTGCAATCTGTAAAATGAACCAACTGTTTTGAAGTAAGATTATTAATTTTTCGAGGTTCTTTGTTTAATGGAGCAGTCATCATAATACCTCTTCAAATAAGTATGGAAGTAAATCCAACGCCAAAACTAGTGTGTATATAAAAATTAAGAGCACTTATTGTTTATTCGATTAGTATATACATTACAGGCAAAGTTAAGTCTAAAAGCTGTAAACTACAATTAAGCAAACCCTAATGTTCAATCTCAAAAGTAGGTAAGTGTTCACAGTTGTTTAAATGCCTACCGTCATGTTTACAAATTTACACACACTTGTCATAATAACAGTTGTATTGAAAAGATAGTCTCTTGGCAATATTTATAAAGTTCTTATGGATTAGTTATATATCAGAATAAGTATTCATTACTTGAAGTTCATCAAATTCATTACTATACAGGCTAAGTAATTGCACTGAATATGCTTTAACAAACATGAAATAAATAATTCTTCTTTAAAATGATATTACAGAGATGTTTGAGAAAGGAAATGGCTGAAATAACAGATAGTGGTTATTTTTTAGTATGATTTATTCCACTGAGTAGTATAATGTGGTTGGATGACAATCTTATAACTTGTTTTTAGCTAGAAAAATGAAAATAATTATAAATTGGCGAGTGCAGTGTATGAACACAACGCAAAATACTTTTAAATCAAACTTCTACTAACCCCCTCCAATGACTCTTGACTCAGCCCCCAACCGCTAAGAATTTAACGCTACCACTGACGATGATACAGGTAAAAACGTATCCTTGGGAATCAGTCATTCAGAGCTCAAGTTACATAGAGCATGATTCAACGGCTTCCGCACTTGTTATGCAAGATATCATAGGCGAATGTGGTAAATTAGTCTGTAGATCACTCATTCCGCAGTCACTTAAGACCTTATCGGCAGGCTTAATCTTTGGGAATCCTACCAGAGCGATTTAAAAATTCAACGGGATGACTATTGGAAAAGCTTCCTTACAGCTGATTTAGGTCGAGTTTTTTTGAGGAATAATAAATTTTCCAACAGGTTATAATGCTGGCTTTACAGTTAGTATGATTTCTACTTATTCTACTTGAACAGCCAAATATGTTTATGAATTCTCACCCAGTGTACGTATATGAAGTTTGCTGCACAATGTGTGATTATCATATTCAGTTTATCAATACTTGAAAGATGAAGGGTTCAATATCAAGTCCTTGAGAAACTATGAATGACAATTTTATTTGCCCGATTTAGAAACGTATGTATACGGATAATAGGTTGAAAGATAAGTAAAGTAAACAAGTGAATAGTTTCCTAGAAATAAATCCCAATTGCAGACTGACATTCATCAAATTACCAATAGCCCTCAAATGCCCCGGTACAGCCGATGGTGGGGAGAGCCCACCCTCCCTCTCGAGATGCTCTAAAGTGGTCACGTGCATAGAACCACTGCCAGGGAAGTCCTACCCACTGCTTTCTTGTGGCGGGGGTATTGTTTACGAAATTGAGAGAATGAAAAACGAATATCCGACGCTTTAACTGGGTTGGTGGATATGGAGGATACACCTAGGGGAGTTGGAGAACCCTAATTCCAAACCAATGGTACACATGGGCTCCAGAATCCTGAGGGAACAAATGTCTTATGAACCAATTGTTGATCATCGGTTACCATGGGACTGCGTCTCCTTATGTTGCTCCACTGCCTTGTGGATTAGACCTTTAGGTCAAAGGCTCAGGTTGTGGCCCCGTAAAAAAACCACTTTCTTCGGTTTGGGCAGCCGGGTAGTATCCCAGTTCTCTCATAAATCGAATGGTTTATGTGGCGCATATCTGCTTGGTGCCTCCTTGTACCAATATCTATATGTTCAAATACATAAATAAATAAATTACCAATAAAAATCGGGAAGGAATGTCAGTTGTTTCATTATAGTTTTAAAATATTGTAAGCCGAAAGGTACATTATTAACCTTCTCTCATGAACTTGGATTTTGAAACAGAGTTTCTTCGCCAATAAAATATAGTTGGTTGTACCACTTTCCTCTCATCAGTCTGTTTATAGTAGATCTCGTATTCAGTGCACAAAGTTTTATTTTGTTGGTGGAACAACTTGGTCCCTTTGAGCTGAAAATAATTAACAACTCTCTTCGTTTGATCACCGTTTCCTCCGAAGAACCACTAAGAGGTCCGGTATTATGTGCATAGACACGATGATAGCTATTTAATTCGTTTCACCATCTTGAAACACTGGCCTAAAGTAGCTTGAACATATTTCATGAATGTCATCCGTGTAGTTTTCATACGGTGCACATTATTCGCGATATTGATACTAAATGGTAAAAACAGAAAGATGGTCAGTTCATATCACAGCGCTGTAATATGAAAGGGTAGCTCTATTTGTTGAAGATAAATAAACAAACACGCCAATTCGAAAGAAAAACAATCCAACTCACTTGTATACAATTTTAACTCCACCTTTTAATCCGCTATCCCAAATACCTTTACCACGGCCACCAGCTAACACTTGTGCTTTCAACACCATATCTGTGCTCTCTGTAGTCTCACCTATGGTTGAATATAGATATAAGGGGAGGAAGGGAAAAAAATCAATTATTGAATTATTATTTTGTTATGTTTAGTATTTAAACACATCTAGACAGACTGATCACGGTGTACGTGAATGTCTTCTTGTTCATTTGCAGATTTATCTTAAAAAAATTGTTATTACATTGGGTGTAAAAATATGCACAAACTTATCGAATAAACATCTTAAAATACTCAAGAGCATCATAAGTTAACCATCTATTTATTTATTTAATAATAAAAATGTTTTGTAAACAATTAAGGGCGTTAAGGAAATGCACCAAATGCAACAAATTGATGGCACTATGAAGTACAAAAAAACAGAAGAAAATCTTTTTTTTAATATCAAAATCAATTAACAATATAGCACACAACAACTAAGAGAAGAACTAATCTACTGAGAAGAAAAGTTTACAACATTCAATGACACTTACTTGTGAATTTGTTAACGCATCTAGTTTATTTCAGAAGTTACAAGTATTATCCAATATCAGAATTTTTGAAATTTTGCATTTGATGAACAGTTGGGATTCCTTAACATTTAAATATTAATAGCTCAATTTGTTTGGTGACTAACAAGTGAAATTTACCAATGCCATTGTATTAAAAGCCTCCTTAAAACTTGATATTCCAAGGAACATTGTACTGTCTATGTTTCAATGAAATTTCCAATTTAATAAGACTCAATAGCAAGATTGAGATTATTTATTTTTCAGATAAATTATAAGTATGAGGACTAGATACGCTGCCTAATATTCAAATTGAACAAAGCACTTAACAGGTTAGACATTTAACGACTAAACACTTGAACAATGATTCACAATGAGCTTAACAACATATTAACATAGATCTAGTCTATTCAATTTCACAAACATTTAGTAAGGCCTTTAATGTCTAATCATATATTTCTCATGAAGTAGATTACATAGTTCCTCGTATATATATATATATATATATATATATATATATATATATACTTTTTTGCAGACAGTTCTACATCTCCCCAAGACTAACTGTCCTCACATATATACACTTTGAGTTGTATCAATAAAACTACCTACAAGTACAACTAAAATTTACACCGATGATGTTCCTTCCAGTTTTACATTCAAGTGTCAAAACATAATTAATGCGTAACATAATAGTCATACAAAATTACTGGAGCTGTTATTAATTAGACAGTGCTGAAACGCTCAATGCACACACACAAACACACAGAAATCACCACCTTTTAAGAAAAAAGTCCTGTTACGTACTGCATAAAAGAAATAATAAGTAAAGGAGGAATTTTACGCCAAAAAGTAGCAAACCGTCAGAGCAGTAACAGAAAACATGTGAATGCCATAACGGATAATATAACCTTACCTGAATTTTCTAATTCCCTTTCAGGTAAAATGCCTGAATAAAAAAGGATACATGATAAATAGGGGAAAATACTGAACAGGATTTTTGTATTAGACGACAAACAAGCAGATGTGATATGTTTTTAAATTGTAATACACATGAATTAAAGTCGATTTTTCTGCAGAATTCATAATTTATGATGGACGTTACAAACTAAATCAAAGCTGTGTGCGAAATCTCATCCATCATGGACCATAACGAAGAAACAAGACTCTATTAATAGCGCTTAAGAGACTGTTTAGTACAATAAGATGCCAAGACATATGTTTCATAAACCCGAATTGTAATATTGTGGGAAAATAAAAGGAATAAAACTATATAATAAAAGCATAAATAAAAAGTATTGGAGAATGTCATTCACATTAGCACAAAAACAGGCTAGATTTTATTAACGTAAATGTTACGTAGTATTGTTTATAAAAAAGGAGAATAAAATCAGGCCCCTACTGGATTATATTCTGAATTATGTCCGATAACTCTTCAAGTCTATAAACTTCGTGATGAAAAGCGAATGTCAGGCGCTTTAACCAAGTCGGTGGGTACGGAGGATTCACATGGGGGAGTTGGGAAACCCTGATTCTAATCCAATAATGTATATGTACTCCAGGATCCTGAGGGAATCTGTTGTTGGTCAACGGCTACCATAGAACTGCATCTAACGTTTACCACTGGTCTTGTGGACTAGACCTTTAGGTCAAAGGCTCGGAGAGTGGTTCTTTAAGAAGACCACCGGCTTCAGTTTTGGGCACCCATGCAGTATCCCACCCCAAACACAAACTAAATGGTGAATAAAAAGACTATCCACAATTGAATTTTCATCTCCCCCAAATCATAGTCAAAACTACTTGTTAATACTAGTTTTTTATTTTGAATTGCATCACCTGTCTATTCTTTTGCTCCAGCTTTGAACATTCCTTCATTCTTCAATTTCCACAACAGCTCGCCTATCGTGACAACCGTGCCCTATCTAAAAGACCTCAAGTTAATGAATGGTCGAAAGTTGAATGTTACTATTCAATACGAATTCTGAACCTGCCTTTCTGAAAACATACCATTCAAACTGACTTTCTTCAACGATCGCACACGTATACGGGTGGGATAACAGATAAAGTTAATTGTCTTTAGAAAGCCTTAACATTGATGTGTGTTATTTATCCGAGACCCGTATTCAAGACTCTAGTGAAGCACTACAAGTTCACTCTCCATCTGTCACTTCGAAAAGCTTGTTTCATGTGTGTTTATCCGGGAACATCTTCGTCTGGTTTCGCTGGCGTTGCTGTCGCACTAAGCGCTAGATCTGAGACAGCACTGATCGATTGGATCTCCATCAACATTCGGTTACATGCCGTTAGATTAGAAAGCTCCATCAGAGTGAGAAGTCGATTTAAGAAACTATGTCTTTTTGCCGTCCCCGTCTAGGCTCTGAAAGATTACAGAAAGCATGCGGTCAAGGATGAGTTCTATCACCGGTCAAGTGTTCTCCTACAAAAAGTGCGTTTGATAGATTAGAGTCTCAATATCGTAGAAGGAATCGACAGTTGTCACCGTCTTTAAAAAGAATTCATATCACCTGTGCAACAACTATCGAGAGATAGGTCTACTTCCGATTGCGTCCAAACTATTGGCTTCCGTCATATTTCGTAGATTGCTCAAAACTCAGGAAAGATTGACTCACGAGGAGCAGGCTGGTGTTCGTTTTGCTCGATGACGTATCGATCATATCTTCACTCTCTACTATGTGCTAGAACGTCGTCATACTTATTACAAGCTAACAATAGTAGTGTTTCTTGAAAACAGGTCCGTCTTCGATTCGTCGGACAAAATTGTTTTCTGGGATAGTCCATTGAACGAGGATGTGCCTGATAGGTTTATTGACATCATGAAAGCACTGTATACAAACACTTCAGAGAGAATGAGGGCGTACAACCACCTCTCTTCATTGTTTTACTCAGGCAGTGAGGTGAAATCGGGTTGCCCAATCTCACCATCCCTCTTCAACTTTGCCATCGATGACGTTCTGAAAACAGCTCTGATGGATGTAGATAACTGTGGTGTGGACCTTTTACCCGGAAAAATGCTTTTTGACCTTGAGTATGCGAGTGACATCATCTTACTGTGTGATGATACTCAAGACAAGCAATCCGCATTTAGTCAGTTAGCAATCAGTGTCTACAGATAATGGCATGTGCTTTTCACCTTCTAAGTGCAGATTAGTTCTACAAAACTGGGGGAACTCTAAACCTGCACTCATTCTGTGTAGTGAGAAGATAGAAGTAGTCGAGAATTTTGCGTATCTGGGTACCTGTGTAAGTGCCGGTGGTGGCGTGAGTGATGAGATCAATTCACGTATAGTGAAAGCCGGAGCGGCTTATTCCACTCTGACCCATCTTTGACACCTTTGTGATACTAAACTGGGTGTAAAAGATCGAACCTACAGCACGTCAATGAGAGCAGTTTCGCCATATGTTAGTGGATTCTAGTCTCTCCAAGTTGAGAATATTAGATGACTCTGTGTTTGATCATCGTCGTCTCCAAAGGATCACTGAAATCCAGTGGCAACACCATGTTAGTGATGCAGAGGTTCGGCATCGTGTATTCGGACACAGTGACGACCATTCAATTGGTATTACCATCTTGGAAAAGGGGGTATAAGGAAAATTCGGGACTTAGGTCTTAGGGCAAGACAAAGATAGAATGCACCTACGCCACTGACCCATGTCGCCCAGTCTTTGACGATTGGTTACGATAATCTTAAGGAACGCAACCAGGTAATCTACACCTGTTAACAGCTTATCCTAACTGTCAATGACGTCATGGACTGGTGCCACGTTTTGGTTTGGGAGTCCCTAGATTACTTCTAGCTTACTCCAATACCAGACCATATCACCTATCGAGGTAAGCAGTAGATGGGTACATGTAATACATGTCTTATCTAACTCAGTTAATCAAGGTTTATTGCCTCATTATCTGACTTGTTATGGTTACCTAGTAACCAACCTGTCACCTCAACAACACTAATTTTTCAGGGAAATCAGTTTTCAAGTTGTTGCTGATGACGTCCCTGAGTATGGTGATGGTAAATTTGAAATCGGTTATCAACGCTAATTAAATATCAAAAAACTACCTTTCTTATCAACAACTATACATTTTATAAGTAATCCGAATGGTATTTTATGGATTTAATTAATAAACCGGCGTAAATTAAACTTGTAATAAACCTCTTGATGGGATGATTGAGTCTTGGTCTAACCAAACAGATGGTCTCAACCAATACCCTACATAAAGGCATAGAATAACTCATTGTACACAAAGAGTGACACATCAGCCCTAGTTGACAAGGCACGTGATTGTGACTATTTGTCTTTAATTTCTCGTGTTAAAAATAAAAATCTGTGTCCAATAATTTGTCTGCACTAACACAAGTAGAATATATAGCCCTAACTGTTTAGCTTAACGAGGTAGTATGCGACCTTATGTGACCTTAACACTCTATATTAAAAAATAGTTTGGCTAACTAAAGTGCTGTATCCAAGGGATAAGAGACCAGCTTTATTTTCGTAAAGTGGTTGGTTTGAACTCATAGAAGCTTTAAATTGCTCAGTGATTAAAGTGCGTGAACATGTAGACTTATAGGAGGTGAGAAAAACGTCACGAAAATTAAAGTAGGGGAGTTATGGTTTACATGTCTTTGAAAATCACAGTTAACTAACGACATCTATAATAACACTTTAAGATATTTCCAGAACAAATTAAACTTACTGAGTGACAGAAAGTGAAGAAACAAAATCTTACGCATTGAATGTACCTACCGAATTCTTTACAAGTAGCTCTGACCTCATCCACATTCCGAACAACTACAAACTTTGGAACAGGTATTTCGTACTTTTTTAACAACTCCATTGCCGAATATTCATGAACTTTCAAAGTGCGAACGCACTTAACCTATTTTTAGGTTTGTTAAATTTTATAAAATAGATCTACATTCTGAAAAAGCTTATTGGGCTCGAAAATTAACTTTCGGAACATTTGCAGGAAGTGGCGCACCGTCGAAATGCCGCGGGTCAGATTTTCATTATCAGCGGTATAGATTGTAACTCAGATGAAGAATGCTGACCTTCAAATGGTTCAAAGGTTTCTGGATGGAACAGAAGAAGCCTTAGCTTAACGAGCTACTGTATCTAGAAGCTATGGACCACCAATGCCTCCAGGTAAGAACCTAGGCATATTAACGATAAAAGAGAGAAAAAGGAACTGGTAAATTGTGGCGAGATGTCTTTTATCCCTTAAAATATATCAAGTTTACTCTCAAAGGGCTCCTGGGAAGTCGCTTGAACTATCCCAGCTGGCAATAAATTCCAGAATTCGATCATTCGTAAAGTGCAAATGGCGTGTCTACTGTCCGTTATAGTATCGTATCTCTGAGCTTCAGTAGGTATTTAAGGGTATGCCCAGGAATGTCTGAGGTTCTACAAGTCATTAAAAGATTACTTCTGAGTCACCTATACTTGAATGGGTGAAGATTCAATGATTTGAGGCGCTCCTCATTAGGTTTAAATTTGAGTCCTCGAAGTGATAAGTTCGAGTGTACTTTTTATCATTTTGGAGTGAGGATGTAACCACCATATTTTCATACTCTAAATGGTGTCGAATAAAAATGTGTAAGATCAAGTGGAAAGCTCTACCTCTGAGGTAGCCAAAAATTCCCTACAACGTTGCCAGTGCAAGGTTTTCTCAAAAGTGCCTCCTTTGTAACTAGATTCGGACTTTAGGTCATAAGGTGCTAACACTGCTAGATCGTTTTCAACTTGGGATAGCCTGCAACATTTCTCAGATAGACTACTTTACACTTCGAATGGTCGGAAGTTCATTGTTATCTGCTCAACTTTGAAGTCGAGTCAGGTTCTACCGAAAAGTCGATGTTTGTTGCGAAGAGTCACCTATATAAATTAAGAAAAGAGGTCCTAGTACTAGACCCTGAGCGACCCTATTAGGGATTCCGTACCCTGAGAAAAAGTGAAGTTTATTCTGACCCTTAAAAGTTGATTATTTAGATAAGATGAGAACCAATCAGTTAACGGAAAACTGACATCTAACAGATTGAGCTTACTGATAAGACATATCATTGACCCTATTAAAAGGTTTTGAGAAGCCAAGGAATTTTGGCATCAACCATCTCCTTGAGATTAAGCATAGTTGTACTTAGGGATTTTAGTCTAGGTCGGTATAGGTACTTGTTGAATTATGGTCTACTATGATATTAGTACTGCTCTAATAATAGACCTAATCCTAAAATTGTAGCTTTGTCATGATATAACTGACTAATCTATAAAATCTTACGTGGAAGTCACACCATCGACTACACCAGCTCACTGTATCGTATCAACTACCAATACATGATGTAGAACAAGGTTAGTCTAGAGAAGGAACAATATATTTAATATGAATAGAAGATATAAGGTAACATTCAGAAGGACCACGCCTGCATGGTCGAGCCATGCCATCCGATCAACTCCAATCCATTCAATTCATTCTCCGTGTTAAGGGAGAACTGAAGACATTTGGCGGATTAAAACCTTTTATTGTACATTAATAATTTACTGTGCTTTTGGATGTAATTGTTTTATTTAACTTTTGAACTTGTTTGTTTATATCATTACTTCGGACGTTTTGGTTTGTCTTTGGTTTGGTATTTTGGTGCTCTCTTTGTCTTTGGTTTGGCATTTGGGAGTTTTGCTCCGGGAACCTACAAAATTGAAGAACGACATTCGGTCGATTATTTGTGAATTACGAATACATTTGGTATCTAAATTGGGACTTGGTTCTGTTGTTAATTTGGGTTCGTAATTTGCGAGTAGATCGATAGTCCGTACTTCAATAACTGGAACGAGCAAAACTTGGACGTAACATAAAGTTCTTCAATTATTGGTTCTGTGTTCATACCTTGGATTTTCTGGATATTTCGGGTCCAAATTCCTGGTCTTATTGGTCGATTTCGTTTGGATTAATTCGGATTTGTTTTGGTAATTGATTATTTGGAACAACTATAACGATGGAAACACGGAGCAGAAGGCTGAAGGAAAATTACGAAATGGATGGTATAACTTCCAAAGCTGTTTGTGGTATGTCTGATGTTAATGATGATAAATGTGATGATGTTAGTCTTAATAGTATGTCCTCTAGCCAGCTAAGTACTTCTAGACTAAAGTTAAATAAAGCATTACTGAGGAAAAGGAATTTAGAGAAGAGACTTGAATTAGAACGGCAACTTAAGATGTTGGATCTACAAGAGGAGGTTGATATCGCTGAACTAGAATGCAAGGCTATCGAGGACGATGAACGATTACCCGTAGATAAATGTGGGATAAATGCTAAAGTGGAAAATTATTTGGATTGTGATACTGGGTGTAATAATCACTCAGGGGAGGTATGTAACATCTCAAATGTCGATTGGGTCGGTGAGCTGAAGGACACGTTACATACAATGGTTAGTAACATGGTTTTACCTAAGATCGATATGATGTACTTTGATGGGCAACCGGGTCAGTATTACCGTTTTATTAGTCAGTTTAATAGCCTTATAGAAAGTAAATTGTCAGATAAGGGCCAATTGTTGTCGTATTTGTTATATTATTGCAAGGGAAAGGCCAGAACAGCAATTGAATCTTGCGTTTCTTTGCCCAGTCATTTGGGCTATGATAGGGCTAAACGAATTTTGTATGATTTATTTGGTAAAGAACATCTTGTTGCACGAGAACTAATTATTGAGTTATTAAACCATAAACCTGTCGGAGGATCGGCTGACGTATTAACTGACTTTGCGATTAAGTTGCGTAATGTATGTATAACGTTGAAGCAAATGGGATATATGTCTGACGTTAATTCTACGGCTAATTTGGAGGTAATAGTTTCATGCCTACCAATAGAATTGAAGAATAAGTGGGTGGAAGTCGCCGATAATATCATGATGCATGGGAAGGAGCCGAGCTTTGAAGAATTTGTGGTCTTTGTAGAAGAGAGGGCCAGAATTGCCCGAACCCGTTATGGTAGATTAGTACAGTGTAACTCAAGGTTCGGTAAAAGGAATTCTGAAGGCCAAGCTGATAGATCACGCTTTCATGCAATTAGACGAGACCCAAATAACTCAGTCAAGGTATCACGCTGTGAAATCTGCGTAGGTGATCATGAGGCGACAGATTGTCCAAGGTTAGCAAAAATGAATGTAAAAGAAAGGAGGCAGGAGGTAAGAAAACGTGGTCTATGTTACTCATGTCTGAGGAAGGGTCACATAGCTATGACATGCAACTCAGGCATCAAGTGCGACGTTGAGGATTGCAAGGTTAGACATAATTCATTATTGCATATTGATAGTATTGATAACCATGTGGTGAACCTAGCTAAGGATTGGAACTCTTCAAGGGTTTGTCTGGGGGTCGTTCCAGTCAGACTATACGGTCCCAAAGGATGTTTAGAAACATATGCACTTCTAGATAGTGGTTCGGACACTTCTCTTGTATGTGAAGAATTAATTAATCAGTTGGGTATTAAAGGTAAAGAGACTTCGATAAGGGTGGCGACTGTCAACGGAACTACCAATTGTGAATGCTTGGAGGTAAATTTAGAGGTGTTTTCATTAGATGAACAAGGTTCTGTAAGGATCAACAAAGTTTACACGACCAAGAAACTTCCGATCGATCATGCAGCACCTTTAACCGAACTCCAACTGAAACGGTGGAAACATCTTAAGGACATAACTGTTACGTCCAAGTTTTGCTCGTTCCAGTTATTGAAGTACGGACTATCGATCTACTCGCAAATTACGAACCCAAATTAACAACAGAACCAAGTCCCAATTTAGATACCAAATGTATTCGTAATTCACAAGTAATCGACCAAATGTCGTTCTAATAACAATAATTATAACAATTACAAAACAAACCTTCAATTTTGTAGGTTCCCGGAGCAAAACTCCCAAATGCCAAACCAAAGACAAAGAGAGCACCAAAATACCAAACCAAAGACAAACCAAAACGTCCGAAATAAAGATATAAACAAACAAGTTCAAAAGTTAAGTAAAACAATTACATCCAAAAGCACAGTAAATTATTAATGTACAATAAAAGGTTTTAATCCGCCAAATGTCTTCAGTTCTCCCGTAACACTCCCGACCAAAAGAACCTTGGTTCTTTTCACAGACAAATAAATAAACAACAAGAATCCAAGTATATGCATCACAAACAATCAACAACAAACACTCACTATACCAACAATCTCGTGATCCCTAGGACTTACACCAGTACGCCTAGGGATCCGAGTAGCTACCTAATATCTACAACTTCTAAACGCAGTTTTCTAGTATCTCTTACCAAGATCCCTACGCTTGTCCGCAACTCCATCGGTCTTAACCTATCACTATTAGGTGTCACTTTCATTACCAGACCTAATAACCATTTGTCTTTCTCTAAAAACCCAGTACATGTCGCCACCAAGTTACTCTCTCCTATGTTCATCTCTGGTTGAGTCCATTTGTGTCTAAGTTGCAACAATGAAACATATTCCTTAGACAAACGTTTCCAAAATATTTGCGCCAACATAAACAATCGCAATATCAACCATCTAACAAAATGCTTCATCCTCCATAGAAGCTCATATACATTAACGTAAATATGGATATATAAACACGTATAGAGGACCAATCCATTAATTCCTTTATTTACTGCGAACTCTCTTTTCTGATTCCAAATCGTAACATTGGACCCTTCTAGTTCTTTTAGAAAATGAATAACCATAACACATGGCTTCAGGCACCATTGCATATTCACACACAAACAACTATTTGAGTCCGCAGAACATAAAGCCCATCTTCCAATCATCATTGGATTTAAAGTTCGTAACGGTGAATTCGTTATCTTCACCTTGCTAGTGGTATCAGACGATAACATTTCAATCTCTTTCCGAAATACTATGCGTTGGACATATAGAATTAAATCTAAACAAGCGAAATTTAACCCATCAAATCTAAGTATACCCACCTGTTGAGACAGATCAGTTCTACCAGAACGCATTACCAGTAAATATCGCTTAAATCGGGTT